AGGAGGGGAAGGCCCTCTATGAGGTGGATTGATTCAGTGACTGGGATAATCGGGATGGGAGTGTCAGAGACAGTGCGATTGGCACAAGACAGAGCAGAGTTTAGGGCTGTTGTACATAGTGTCACTATGAGTTGCAAGCGACTTGACGGCACATAACAACAACAACAAGGTGAATGATTTATGGTTTAAATCAGAAAGCAACTGGATTTTACTGCAACATTGGATTTATGAGGAAAAAAGTATGTGCACTAAAATTCTGTTTTGCATTATTTTCCTGTCAACTTTACTGTGCTTTCTTTTAAAAAGTAGCTTATGGTATTTTCTCTTATGCCCCATGCATGGAGACAAGGCTTGAATAACGTCTCATCCTTCTCATAGGGAAAGTCATGCCCTGGGAAATGTAATACACCACATAGCGTTAGCTCTGATACACCACGAAGAGTGTTGTTTCCTGAGATCTTTTTGGGAGCACATAGTAATATATTTTTTCTGTGAAAGGTGGAGAGAGGACCAGAGAAGTTTCCACTAAAGGGGGAAGGTTAGGCAAATGGGGCTCTGTCTCTAAAGAGACAGACAACTAAGAGACAGATGGACTATTTTACACAGAAATGACTAGTATCCTAGGCAAAAATAAATAGCTGTGTGAAAATGTGTGTTGTTCAGAGAAACCTATTGAGAACAGGAGTCATGATGGAAGAATATTAGCACCTAGACTAAAACGTTAGCCTGGGTTAGATTGGCAAGGTTCTTGAGTTGCACACTAAAAGTATGACCTTACTGCAATGGGAAGCTGTTGGAAAAAGTTTTTGATGGTCACAAGCATCAAATTTTTAGAAGGTCCCATTCATCAAGTTTATCCTCTTCAGACTGTGCATTCCTGGATATATTTGCAGTCTCTTTTTACCGTAGACTAGGGCTTCTAATCTTGATCCCAGTTTGTCTCTTATGACCTTTATCATTTTGGACTTGATTCCTAGGTGTCTGATCCACCCTGAAGTGATTTTTGTATATGGTTTGGGATGTGGGTCCTGTTTCAGTTTTCTGCAGGTGGCAGTCCCATTATTTGTTGAAGAGGTTGCCGTTTCCCCATTTGATAGGTTTAATTTTCTTGTCAAATATCAGTTGACCATAGATAGTTGGGCCTATTTCTAGGTTCTCTATTCTGTTCCATTTGTCTCTGTGCCTGTCATTGTACCAATACCATGCTGTTATTGTTACTAGCTGCATAGACATTAACAAGCACAGGGAATCCTTAACTAGAGTGGGAGAAGAAAAATCGCTCTTTTCTATTGCAAGGATGGAGATCCTTCTGCAATTGAGATGCACCTCAATCCTTCTAGTCTAGATCTTGAGGCACATGAATATCATGGCAGTGTAGCCCATACTACCTGGAAGCTGAGTAGAGGTGTGTGTTGGAGGTCAGGGCATTGAATAACATTCATAGCAGTCTTTCACTAGTTGGTCCTCTCTTTAGCTGCATGGAAAAGTGGAAATGCTTTAGAGACCTGAGTTAGAAGCTCATCCCTATTGTTTTTGTTAGGTGCCATCAAGTTGAGTACAACTCATAGCAACCCTTTAATATACAAAAGATCTGAACCCTGTTCTACCCTGTGCCATCCTCACATTTCCTGACACACGAGAGCACATTACAGAAGTCACTGTGTCAGTCCACCTGGTTGAGGATCTTCCTTTCATTCGCTGACCCTCCAACCTTCCCAACATAATGTCCCACTCCAAGGAATAGCTCCTCCTAGCAGTATGCCTAAAGTGTGTGAGACAAAACCTCATCATTCTTGCCTCCAAAGAGTATTCCTGCTGCACCCTCCCCGCGACATATCTGCTTGTTCTCTTGTCTGTCCATGGGATGTTCAGTGTTCTTCTCTCATAAAACAGCTCAAAGGCATAGATTCTTTTTCTGTCATCCTTATTCATTGTCCAGCTCTCAGATGCATAGCTAGTGATCAGAAAGACTACGGCCTGAATCAGATGCACCTTAGACCTCAAGCTGACTTCATTACTCCTCAATAGGTTGGAGAAGTTCCTAACTACACATTTTCCCAGAGCATTGCTTCTCCTTATCTCCAGACTGCTGGTAATAAGAGTGTTAATTGTGGATCCAAGCAAGATAGAAATGTTGATAGAAATGATGACAGAAGAATAATAGCTGACTTTGAGTTGTAGTGTTGGAAAAGAGTGCTGAATATCCCTTGAACTGCCAAAAAGACAAACAAGTAAGTCTTGGAAAAGATGCAGCTAGAGTGTTCCTTAGAGGAAAGGTTAGTGAAACTTTGTCTTACAGACTTTGGGCATATTGCTACTAGGGACCAGTCCTTGAAAAAGAATGCTTGGAAAGGTGGAGGGTCAGCAGAGGAAGGGAAGACCCTGGACAAGATGAATTGGCAGCAGTGACTGTAACACAGTGAGCTTTGAGAATGTCAGAGATGATGAGGATGACACAGGAAAGGTCTTTTTTTATGTTTTAAAAAATGTATTTAATTTTTGCTGAAAAAAATATATATAGCAAGACATTCAACAATTCCTACATATGTCACTTAGTGGCATTGATTCTCTTCTCCAGATTTAAAATTTTACTATCAGGAAAACCTACAGCAACTTCTTTCTTTTTACAAGACTAGCCTGTGCAAATGTTTATAAAAACTCAAATCTCATAGGAAAAGGAGCTCTAATGGTACCACACTTGCTGCTAGCTCAAAGGTCAACAGTTATGAATCCACCAACTGTGCAAGAGGAAATACCTGGTGATCTGCTCCTGTAAAGCTTTCTCATCTACAAAACCCTAAGGAACAGTTCTACTCTGTCTTTATAGGATCACTATGAGACAAAACTGACTCAATGACACAGCACCCTCACAGGGATTAGTTCATCGGATTGAGACGTAATGTGTTTTCTCTAAATTTTGATTAAAAAGGTCTTTTTAAAAAACATTTCTTAAATTTAGTACTTGGACATTTTGGTTGGGTCATTCTTTGTTGTCAGCAATATATTGTCCTGTACATTTTCACTTTTCTATTGAGAACAACGGATAAAGACTTGTTGTTGTTGTTATGTGCCGTCGAGTTGCTTGCGACTCATAGCAACCCTACGTACAACAGCCCTAAACTCCACTCTGTCCTGTGCCAATCGCACTGTCTCTGACACTCCCATCCCAATTATCCCAGTCACTGAATCAATCCACCTCATAGAGGGCCTTCCTCTCCTGTGCTGTCCCTCTACCCTCCCAAGCATGATGTCCTTCTCCAAGGACCGGTCTCTCCTCACAACATGTCCAAAGTATGTTAGACGGAGCCTCAGAATCCTTGCCTCCAAGGAGCCACCTGGTTTAACATTTTCCAGGACAAATCTGTTTGTTTTCCTAGCAGTCCATGGTATTCTCAATACTCTTCTCCAGCACCACAGCTCAAAGGCATCAATTCTCCTTCTATCCTCCTTGGTCATTGTCCAACTCTCTGATGCATAACAAGTGATTGTGAAGACCATGGCCTGTATCAGACGCACCTTAGTCTCCAGAGAGACACCATTGCTCTTCAGTACTTTGGAGAGGTCCCTAACAGCAGACTTTCCCATGGCAATGCACCTTTTAATTTCCTGGCTGCTGGTGCCAAGACTGTTGACTGTGGAGCCAAGCAAACTAAAGCTGTGCACAATCTCAGTCTCTTCACCATCCATCCTAATGCTGCCAATTGGTCCAATGGTGAGAATCTTTGTCTTCTTGACATTGAATCTCAATCCATATTGTAGGCTGCAGTCCTTGACCCTCTGCAGCAGGCGCTTCAGGTTGTCTTCAGTTTCAGCAAGCAGGGTTGTGTCATCCGCATAACGCAGATTGTTGATAAATCGTCCACCAATCTTGACCCCACATTTCTCCTCATAGAGCCCAGCCTCCCGGATAATCTGTTCTGCATATAGACTAGAAAACACAATATAATAAATAAAGCATGATAAATAGGTTAAGATGTCACAGTTGTATGTCGTTAATTATTTCTTAGTTAATATTTTATAGTGAATTATATAAATCACATGAACTAATTAGCAAATAATGAGCATGTCTAAATAAAGAGATTATTTATGTAGCTTAATTAGAAACATTCTAAACATTCTAAATACAGATTCAGGCTTAATGAACCTCTTAACTGATATTAACAGCACTGCTTTGAAAAGCAACTTTAGTGTGTGTCCTATTACTATGAATCAGCATTCCCTCGGTGTTCAAGCAGACAGACTGGACTGAACCATGGCTCATAGGGCTCATTGTGTTTCATATCCTCTGCCTGCTCCTCACCTGTTTCTCGACCCAAAGATATAAACTAGAGATTGGGCATTTCTTATGCTTAGTAATTTTAGTGTATTGTGCAGAATATATTAATGAAATATCTGCAATGAACTGAAGGTTATTTTCAGAATACCAATATTTTGATTCAAGAGGAATGTTCATTTCTATAGTATTTTCAACACCACTGTTGTTCAATACTATGATTATTGTGATTATGTGGGTACGAAAGACTTTAAATGTAATGACTGACCTGAAGAATTTACAACAGAAAAGAAAGGAGAAGAAAAAGAGGAGGAAAGAAGAATAATGTTGGGATAATTTGGATTTCTTCTGTTGGACTTTGTCTTCCACCATTGTTTTTAATGTTGAAGTATGTATTATTAGGATCCTTTTTTAGCAACTGATTCTTGGTTTGGAAAAAAAAATTATATTCTTATTTATTCATCGGAAAGGTCTTTTGTTCATAGGATTGCTTTAAGTCAGAGTCACAACAATGATAAATCCTCTAACATGAGTTTTCTTTTCTGTTGCTTAGAACTAATATTCCCTCTCACAGTGTTGTTAAGAGTATTTTATGAATTGATGTCATCATGAATGTATTCCACAAATATTTATGTGCTGAACTATGTTTACCGCTTGGAGTTACAGCGGTAAACCAGATGTTAGACAAGATACCTGCCCTTAGCGATGCTTGTATTATTTAGACAATGAGCAAAGAAATAAATGATATAATATCAAGTTGCTTTTGAAAAAATAGGTGCAAATGACACCCAGAATACCTAGACCCCATCTGGTTGTTGCTAAGTAAATGTTGGGTTGTTTTCCTTCCCAAAGATCTCAGCTAAAAAAGTCAATGTAGGTCTTGTGTTGGTTAGTCCTCTACCTATCAAATGAAAAGAAATTAAGGCTAGTAGCTGCAGTCTGACATGGGGCCATTTATCAGGAATCTCTGGTGAGCAATGGGAATAATAATAGTGTACAGCCGAGTACTGTAGAGAGGCTGGGGGGAGAGAGAGTGGGAGAGACAGCGAGAGAGACAGAGACAGAGAATAGCTCTGAGTGCCTTCCTCAGAGTAAGTGCATAAGAATGGAAGCTGATTTAAGGGAAGTGGAGGCAGCAGAGGGATTTGTTTTGTCCTTGCTGTTGTCACAAGAATTAGCCCTTTAGCCATTTTGACCCACATTTAGTTAGGAGACTGGATAGTAGCCTGAGTGAAAGAAAGGAGAAGATAGAGAATTAAGTCTGGAGATAGATACATAATCTGAGACTATACACTGGGCAGTGTGTTATTTGCCCAAAGCCGGCCAATGATCAGACTAGAAGGTTTATTATAGGAAGTTTCACACATTTTTACATCATCACTCTGGCTTCTGAGAATTCCAGTGAAAAGTAGGAAAGATTAAAGGTCAAAAAGGAGGAACTGAGTATGGAAAGTAAGAACTGGCTGGAGAAACCAGCAGGTTGGGTCCATCTCATTGAAGGTCACGCTGTCTTTCTATGAAGCTCAATCTTTCCCAGCATGGTGTCTTTTTCCAAAGACAAATGATATCATATTCCAAAGCCCCTCTTGATAATATGCCTAAAGTATGTGAAGCATTATTTCACCATTCTTACCTTTAAAGAGCACCCTGGTTGCATTTCCACCAAGACTTGTTTGTTCTTTTGACAGTCCACAGAATTTTCGGTACTCTTCACCAACTCTACAATTCAAAGGCATCAATTCTTCTTCAACCTTTTTTTTGGTCAAACTTTCAGATGCATATGTAGCAATTGAAAATACCAAGGCTTGGACCAGGGGCACCTTAGTCTTTAAACTGACATCTTTACTCTTCAGCACTTTAAAGAGATCTTTTACAGCAGATTTTCCCAATGCAACACTTTTGATTTCTTGACTGCTGCTACCATGGGTCTCACAGATAGAATATGGATCCAAAAGCATGAGGAAAGGAATGGGCACTAAATAGAAAACTATCATGTTTTTTTAAAACTGCCTCAGAAGATGCTTGTGAAAATTAACTGAAGCTTAGGCTTCCCAGTAGTGTCAGCACATGAAAAGACCCTTAATAAATGCTCCTTCACTGTCCATGGGAGGCAAGTGAGCCTTGGTGTGTACAAAGCTGGATGTGACTCTCAGAAGACATTTTGGAAACTATTCCTGGAGTCCAGGGACCACACTCTGTGGAATCTCAGTGGCTAGACTATTATATCCACAGCTTGGATCAAGTACTATAAGTGATCTAAAGCATAGCCATATATTTTAAAAGTATGAACTCTAAATTCAGATGCACCTACCACTTAATGACTTATTTAGCCAAGTATTTTCCCCCTGGAATTTAGAATGTTGAAGAGGAAAGACTATGTATTATTGGTATTTGTTCTCAGGGTCTGGCAGTGCTAATTTTGTTTATTTAATTGAATTCATTCCTTTACACAAAGCCATTCATCACTGGGCAACTAAATACTACCTGAGAATTTCACTACAACAGACACTAAACAATTTCACATATCCCTCCTGCCCCTTTCCTTTCCTTTCTCTTCTCTCTCCCTCCCTTAAAATCTTATCGTTTCAGGTACCTGAGGTGATTCTAGACCAAATCAAGATTTTTAAGTCAATACCTGTTTATACCATCTCTTTTAATTACAACGATGAGATTGCAAATGAATTTTTGAAAGAGCTTGCTTGTTTGACAGGAGGAGAGCTCCATTTTTATAATTTTACTTCCAACAATACCTATCCTCCAGAGACTGTTAAGGTAAGAGCTTACAAAGGGAATGCTCACTTATTTAGTATTAGAGCCTGGAAACCAATGGATAATGAGTTTGTTGGAGGAATAACAACAACAAAGACAAATAGTGAGCAAAGACAATGACATAAAAAAAAAAGATGTGGTTCAAGGTCAACCTATATTTGTGAAAATGCAGATTTCTTGGTCCACTTCAAACTCTAGGCTTAAGGATCTGAACATCTCAATTTTTTTTAGTCAAATTTTTATTATAGTAAATTTCAAACATACGCAAAAGTAGAAGAGTAGTATGTGAATCTGCTTACAGATGAGAAAATGATCTGAGGCTAGAAAACAAATGACACAAAGGATTAGGATAAGGATCTGAGCTCTCTTGAGTTTGTTTTTGTTCTTGTTAAATGCCATACAGTCAAATATGACTCATAGTGATCCTATGACCAACAGATCTGAACCCTGTCCTATACTGTGCATTCCTCACAATCTCTGACATACTCCATATTGCTGCAGTCACTGTGTCAATTTGCTTGGTTGAGGGTCTTCCTCTCTTTTGCTTGCCCGCCATCTTTCCAAGCATTATGTTCTTCTCAATGGACTAGCCTCTCCTTAGCAACATGCCCAAAGTATGTGAGATGAAGCTGCATCATCTTTGCCTCCAAGGAGCACTCTGGCTGCACTTTCTCCATGATATGTTTGCTCTTTTGGCAGTCCATTCTTTACTCTTCTCCAACACCACAATTCAAAGCATCAGTTTTTCTTCTGTCATCCTTATTCATTGGACAACAATGACGCCACATTCTTCATAGAGTCCAATAATTTGCTCACTGTACAGATTGAACAGGTATGGAGAAAGGATACAACCCTGACATATACCTTTCTTGATTTTTTTAAATAATCTTTTATTTTACACTGGTTCACTAATAAAGTTTGTGTACATTGATTTTCACAACAGACCTTTCCCATTTCCTTTATGCACCCCTCTCTCTACCCAGCAAGTTGTGTGACCCTATGATTAACCTCCCTACCCCCCATCAATGACTAGGGAGGATAGAAGGAGAATTGACAACTTTGAGCTGTGGTGCTGGAGAAGAGTATTGAATGTACCACGGACTGCCAAGAAAACAAACAGATTCATCGTAGAGAGGATTAAACCAGGCTGCTTCTTGGAGGCAAGGATTCTGGGGCTTCGTCTGACATACTTTGGACATGTTGTAAGGAGAGACAGGTCTTTAGAGAGGGACATCATGCTGGGTAGAGAGCAGAAGGACAGCGCAGGAGGGGAAGACCCTCTATGAGGTGAATTGATTCAGTGACTGGGGTACTCGGGATGGGTTTGTCAGAGGCAATGAGATTGGCACAGGATAGAGCATGGTTTAGGGCTGTTGTACATGGGTCGCTATGAGTCACAAACGACTCGATGACACATAACAACAACAACAACAAACCCCCATCATCAGACACATCCACCTTTCTTGATTTTAAACCATGTGCTTTTCCATTGCTCGATTCACCTCTTTGTATATGTTTTGCATGAGCACAATTAAATGTTCAGGGATTATCATTCTTTTCAATGTTAGTCGTAATTTGTTAGCATCCATATGGTCAAATGCTTTTGCATAGTCAATAAAGCACAAATTGACATTCTTCTGGTATTCACTGCTTTCATCCAACATGCATCTGACATCAGCAATGATATCCTTGGTACCATGGCCTCTTAAAATCTAGGGTGAATGTCTGCTCTGTCTATATACTGATCTAGCATGATCTTCAGCAGTATTTTGCCTGCATGTGATACTAATGATATTGTTTGATAATTTCCACATTCTGTTGTATCAGCATTCTTAGAAATGGGAACAAATATGGACCTCTTACAGTCAGTCAACCAAGCAGCTGTCCTCCAAATTTCCTGGCATAGACTGGTGAGCATGTCCAGGGCTGCATCTGTCATTTAAAACATCTCAGTTGGGATCCTGTAGATTTCTGGGGATTTATTTTTTGCTACTGCCTTAAGTGCAGCTTGAACTTCTTCTTTTATTACTATTGGCTCTTGATAGTAGTATTGAAATATATTAGTATTGACCATGTCTTTTTGGTACAGTGAGCCATGGGTATTCACTCCTTCTTTTAATGCTACCTGGGTGTTTTGAGATTTTGCCCATAAGACTTCCAGATAGCAAATAAACACATGAAGAAATGTTCAAAATACCTAGCTATCAGAGAGATGCAAATCAAAACAAATATGAAATATCATTTCACACCAGTAACAATAGCAAAGTTCAACAGAGCAGCAAACAGCAAATTCCGGTGAGGTTGTGGAAAGATTAGAACTCTTATTCACTTCTGGTGGGAATGTAAAATGGTACAACCATTATGGAAGGTGGTCTGGCACTTTCTTAAAAAGTTGGAGATAGAAATACAATTTGACCCAGCAATTCCACTACAGAGAACATACCCTAAAGAAATCAGAGCTGTGAATCAAGCAGATGTATGCACACCCATATTTATTACTGCGTTATTCACTATAGCAAAGTGATAGAAGCAACCCAAGTGCCCACCAATGAATGAACAGAAAAAAAATTATGGTATGTTTATGCAATGGAATATTATGCAGGATTGAAAAACAATGAACTCTTAAAACCTTGCACAACATGGGGGAGCCTGGAGGACATTATGCTGAGCGAACTATCTCAATCACAAAAGGATAAATACTGCATAACACTGTTGTTGTTGTTGTTATGTGCCGTCGAGTCGTTTTCGACTCATAGCGACGCTATGCACAACAGCCCTAAACCCTGCTCTATCCTG